GTGCCCTCCCCAGGGGCAGTGGGCTGGTGCCCGGGGCAGGTCAGAGCCCCCCCGGGGGGGGACAGCAGGTAGTGATGGCAAGGGGATGGGGATACCACGGCTATAGGGGTTCCTAGGCCATACCCCAACCCCCCCTTTCTCCCCAGGTCAGCCAAAGGCAAGGAGGGGTACAGTCCCCTGCCCACCCTCCAGCCGCCAGCCCCACACCAGGACCACCACCGCATCTGTCCCCTCTGGCTGTTCCCCTGCACCCACTGCCCTCCCCAAGGTGTCCCCTCGGACTCCAGCAGTGGGTGGGAGGACCCCCACTCCCAGAGGTAAGGATGTAGTGGGGTGAGGGGGTCACAGGGGATGCCCCCTCCTCCATGCCTCAGTTTCTCTATGGCTTCTCTCCCCTTTGCAGGTGCGGGGGCAGCACGGGTAGCCCCCCAAACTGCTGCCTCGGGGTGCAAACCAGGACCCCCCCCTGCCCGCCTGCGGCCCCCACGCAAGACGGCGGTGAGCAGCACCCCGAGGTGACACTCCCAAACCACCCTGCACCCGCCCAGAGACCCTGGGGGCACCCAGACCCCTCCTAGGTACCAGCCAAGGTACCTAGGCTGGGGGGGGCAGAGCCAAGGCAACCCCAGGGATGAACTGAGGTTTTGGAAGGAGGCAGGCAGTGCCAGGGGCCCCCAGGGAGCAGCCAAGGAACCCCTTGGCTGCCAAGGCAGGGCAGAGCTGGAACTGCCAGGGACCAGCTGAGGTTGGGGTGGGAGAGGCACGGGCCTCTCCAGGGATGAGCCAAGGCATGCACTGGGTTTTGCTTTAATTACAAAAGGTCCAATCAGCAGTAGGAAACCCCCCACATCCCCCAGTACCCAGGGGTCCCTCACCCCACAACACCCATCCCTCAGTTCCCCAACCTGAGCCTCACCCCTGGGCAGGGGAGGGGGGGTTCCCCAGACATCCCTGAACCCCCAACTGATCCCACCCCCTCCACATGCCCGCCCACCTGGGGAAGTTCACACCATGGGATGGGTGGCACCTTCAGGGGGGTTGGCACAATAGGGCAAGTTGGTTATAAATTCCCATTTTTGTATTTTCATGTATTTTTTAAATAAAGCACTCTGCTGGGCAAAGGGGCTGGGGGTGATCATGGGGGGAAAACAGGGGCACCCTGTGCTACCCCCCTGCAAGGTGCCAATCCCTGCAAGGATACAAAGTGCACTGGGGCGGGGAGGGATGTGGCTCCCTGCCCCCTCCTGGTGTCCTCCCAGTCCTTGTACACCCCCAATCCTGGTGTGTCCCCCCCCACCATCCTGGTGCCCTCCCTGTCCTGGTGTCCCTGGCACAGTGTGTGGGTTGCCTGCTGGGTCCCCATTAGATTGAGGTCTCGTCGCTCCTGGTGGGGGGCACAGACAGATGGGGGAAGTGGATACAAAGCGGGGGGTGGGGGTGGATAAAAAACAAGACAGACAGATGTGTGATGGGGGAGATGGGTGCCAGGGTGCCCTCTGTGCCCCCCAGCACCCAGCCATGGTGGGAGATGGAGGGGTGAGGGTTGGGGGGGAACCCCCCTAGCCCCCTTGGGTTAATGGAGAAAATTAAAAAACAGAAATCTGGGAGGTAGAGGGGGAGAGAAGAGTTGGTTAGTGCTGCTGTGCTAGCTCTGCCCTGAGCTAGCCACCTTTGGGTGGTCAGGGGGTACCCAGTGGGCACCCCACCACCCAGTGGGCACCCAGTGGTCAATAGGCACCTTTGGACAGTCAATGGGCACCCAACATGCACTCCAGCACCCAATGAGCACTGTTAGACCAAAGGGGCACCAGGTGGTCAATGGACACTCATGAACAGTTAACATGCACCCAACAAGTGCTGTTAGGCCTGATGGGCCACCAGTGGACACCCCAATGGGTGATCCAATGCTCAGTGGGTACGCAACAGGTGCTGTTAGACCTGATGGGCACCTAGTATGCACCCAGAGGTCATTAAGCACCCAAGACAGTCAGTGGGCACTGAATGGATATATAAGGGTCAATGGATGCACAATGAGCATCCAATGGTTAGTGGGCACTCATGGACAGTCAATTGGCATCCAATGGCTGCAGTTATACCTGATGGACACCCAGTGAGTATTCAGTGGGCATCCAGTGGGTACCCCAGTATTCAATGGGCACCCAGTGGGCATCTAGTGGGCACCCAAAGGGAACCATGGAACCTGATGGATACTCAATAAGTAATATTGCACTCAATGGGTGTCTAGTCATACTGTGGCACCTGATGAGCAGTCAGCAAGCAGTGTTAGACCCTATTGGTGCCCAACAGGCAGCTGAAAGAAACCCTGGCACTAAATAAGGGTGTAATGGGAACCTTGGCACCCTGGTACCCAGCCATCCTTGCACTTGATAGGCATCCAAAGGATACCTTAATAAGCAGTGTTTCACTGCTTGTCCACCCAACAGGAACCCTGCTACCCCAAGGGCACCCTCAAACCCAATGGGTGCCCAGAGGGAACCCTAATACCCAGAGAACTCCTAGTGAGCACTTCTTGGATATGACAGGCACTCACTCAGAGCCAGAGGAATCCTCGTCAGCGGTGCCTGTGCGGATGCTCATGGCAATGGGGGTGAGGCCGCTGAGCTGCTCCTGGAGGCTCTGCCGAGGCCGGGGGACTGGGGGTGCCCCCCCGTCACTGCCCGAGGAGGCAGCTGTGCAAGCCGGAGGCGGTGGGGGTGGCCCAGGGCGCTGGGTGCTGCCCCGCTCACTGATGGGGGGCAGGCACTTCTTCTTCAGGATCCCTGCAGAGGCATTACCCATGGGTGGGGAGGCCAGATTTGGAGTGCCCACCCCTGCCATGGCAGCCCATACCTTTGTGGGGGTGGGGTAGGGGCAGCAGCAGGGGGCCCCTGGGAAATGCCTCGCCATTGGGCTGGGGGGGATCACCCCAGGGGTGTCCCTGGTCACCAGATGGTTGCACTCGCAGCCCCTCACTACCTCCTGGTCCCTCACTCGCTGTTGTCACAAATTCCCCTGGCCAGTATGGGCATCCTGGGGGCAGCAGGGGGTCACCTGTGGGGAAAGGAAGGAAGCAGGGACAGGCAGGACCAGGAATCCTACCCCCCCATCCTCACTGGGTGCCCCCATCAGCACATAGGCATTGTGAGGGATGCACCCAAACCCATTGTGTCAGTCCCATCCATACCACAGACTGGACAAGGGATCCTCTACCCCATACCCACTATACATCTCTATCAGAACTCCAGGCTGGACAAGGGATCTCTTGTCCACTCTGTGCCCCCCACATCAGCACCCAGCCAGGTTGAAGGCCTCCCATCTCCACTTCCCCTGAGGGTGTTACCAGGGCCAGGGGGACCCAGGGGAGCCCTGGGTAAGGGGTCCCAGCCACAGGGGGTGTCATCCTCGCTATCAGAAGAATGTGTGGAGCCATAGGAGCCACTCAGGTCATCCAGGGACACGTCACTGTCCGAGTCCGTGTCATGCTCTGGGGGGTCACAGGTCAGGGGGTGCCCAGAGACACCTCCTGCCCCCTGGGCTGACACACTTGCCCTCTGGGTGAGGCCATACCCTCAGGCTGGTCCTGGGAATCAAGGAAGAGCCCCCCAGGCTCAGGCAGCGGCACTGGCCCCAGCCCTGGGCTGCCTGCCAGCCCTGAGTCCTCCCTGTGGGGACACAATACTCATCAGGACCCAACCTGTGTCACGAACACCTACCATCCACTGTCACCCAGCGACTGACACCAACACACTGACACAATGTCCACCCACTGACACCCAACACCCACTGACATGCCAATATCCACTGACACCCACCACCCTCATATCCATCACCCTGACACCTACCCTTGCCGCCCCTTCATCCTGACACCCCCTCAACCCCCCACCCTGCCACCACCCCACTACCCTACCACCTCACCACTCCAAACGCATGCCATCCTGCCACTGTACTACCATGCAACCATGCCATTGCCCCACCACCCAGCCATCCCAACACCCTCACAACCATGTCACCCCACCACACACCATCCTGCCATCCCAATACCCCCATGCCATGCCATCCTGCCACCCCACCAACCCACCACTCAACCACACCAGCAGCCTGTTACCCCACCATCCCATAACCATTCCATCTTGTCATCCCATTGCCACATCAGCCCAGGACCCCACAAAAACCCATGCCCCAGCTCCTTCTGTGCCCAGTACCGCTGCACGAATGGGATGTAGCTGTGGTGGCTCTTGCCCGAGCGTGCAGTGCTGTGCAGGGACCCCGAGGACCCACCACCTGGGGGCGGGTACAGCTGCCCTGCCACGTATGCGCTGTCCCTGCCATAGGCCTGCCAAGGGCACAACGATGTCATAGCCATGGCATGGGCTGCCCTTCGCTACCCAGCACCCCCCGTGTCCCCCAGCACTCACAGGGGTCAGGGTGGCCTTGGTGGCCAGTGGTGGGTGGTGGCAGCGGGCACAGCTCAGGCGGAGGCTCCTCCGCACCTCCTTGCTCAGCACCACACAGCACAGGAAGATGAGGGGGCCCTGGGCAGAGAGGAGGCAGGGGGGACAATAAAGGGTGTGAACAGCCTGGGAGGATCCCAGCAGCACCCCAGACAGGTCCCTATCCAGATTGGGTGCATGCCATTGGCACCTCAAAGAGAATGAGGGTCTCCCCACATACCCACTGATATCACAGACAGGATGAGGGACCCCCATATGCACTGGGTATCTCCCATTAGTGTCCTGCCTATGGCAAAGGACCCCTCTGTGCCCACTGGGTGGGTGCCCCACAAATAGGTGTGGGACTCTGGAGGTCCCAAGGGTGTGAGGTTCAGGGAGCTCTGGGGTCTCTGGGGATCGCAGGGGGGGAGGCACTGGAGTTCTGGAGTCTTTGGTAGTCCCAGGGGCAGTGGTTCTGGAGGTCCCCAGGGTGTGTGTTTGGGGGGTCCCAAGGGTGGAGTCTCAGGTGGTCCCCACTGACCTGGAGGCAGTTGGAGGCGGCGAACAGGTAGTGACAGAGCAACGTGTCACTGTTGACTGAGAGCAGGGCCAGAAGCCAGGCCAGGCTGGGCATGGCCAGCAGGACTGCAGCTGTGCACACCCCAGACCTGGGCACCCCAACAGCATGCCAGTGTCACCCCAATGACGTCTCATGTCACAAGCCCTCTGTACTTCTGTCCCCCAGGGTTGCCCAAACCCCTCATAGCCCCCTCCCTGCCCAGATGCCCCAACCCCTACCTGACCCACTCCACCATTCTTGGGTGCTCCAGCCCCTTAAGCTCCCCTGTTCCCTGTGGGCCCAGCCAAAACCCAGCATGCCGTGCCCTTGTCTCGAGTGCCCTTCTGCCACCCCATGGCTGCTCTGTGCCCCCCTGCCCCTCTAG